GGACAGAGATGTCTCATTTTGATTAGTTCTTCTTTGAGGGGTTTGTATTTCTTTTGTGATTCCCTTTTCATTTTATCCATATGTTTACTAGGCTGTTTTTCATTTAAAATTTCCCTTTTTTTAGGACTATTAACTTTTTTTATTTTGCAAGTTTTCCTGCTCATTTTTTTCTTTCAGCGTCAGTTTTTTCTTTACTCACAGTTTTTGTTTTTTGTTTTTTTTTCTTCCCAGTTTATTTTTCTTTACACACAGATCTATCTTTTCCTCTGAGGTTTCTCTCCTAGTGGCTGACTTAGAAATGCCCTTCTCTCATTGAGTATTACAAAATATTCATCTACATTTTATCCTAGTACTTTTGTGATTTCAGTATTTACATGTTTTACTTACCTGGTATTGATTTCAGGACAGAGGCAGGCATTCATCGTTTTTTCCAAGTAATTAGGCAGCTGTACCAACATCATTTACTTAATTTATTTTTTCTCCACTAATCTGAGGGGCTGTCAGATTTTATTGGGGTTAAATATTCTTGAGTGAGGCGTTCAAAAGCAGTTTGAATTAGAGTGAGTAAATCAGAACTTAAACAGTAATGTCATCTTTTTGTGTTAATGAGAACTCTGTATTGCTGAAAATGGTGGAATCAATGTGAGAAGCTCTCTGGTTATCAAGGGCACTGCTAATGAAGATGATCTTTGAATTTATGTACTTTAGAGTTAAATACATGCACAGGGTTTTAAAAAATCAAATGGTACAGTAGGGTTTGTAATGAAAAATCCTAGACACCTTTCCCTCCTTTTTACCAGAGACAAAAGACCATTTCTGTTTTTTAATGCCTTTTGTTTGAAGACTGTGGCAGGAAACTTGTCAATTTCTTGGTATGACAGATAGGGACTCCTTCCTGTTCTCCAAGCAGTTAAATGACCCTTCCTTTACCCTCTTGTTCCCCCTTTCAACTTTTTGCCAGCTTTGCTTATACATTGTTGAGGTTAATTTATATTCTGCTTTAAAATTAGGTTTTATATGCTTTATCAATAGGTCTGTTCTACAATTTGAAAGTCAGTAAATGGCATTTATAATATTATGGGAAGGTAAGTTTACTGCAGACCTAACCAGTGGGTTAAAAATTTGTATCCTAAAGTTCCAATGTTATGTTAACGTTCAAAGGGATAATATACAAAAGGATGATTCTTTCCTGTATTTCACCTAGATATTGAAAATCATGCACATTTTAATGAGTTTCATGTTTGGATTGTGCTTTTTTTTTTTTTTAAAGAAAATTGTTCTATTTTCCCTGCAGTTTCTGATTTACCCCTCTTTTGAAGGGGGACATATACTTTTCTTGACCATATCCCTAATATTTTGTATTCTTTTTTGCTCCAAATACATTTCTTTCTTGTAGAATCATACTTTCTACCCTATGACTCTGACTTTGGCTTTTTAATTAGTCTTTTTTTTTTTGAGAATATTGATAGTTACCTTGGATTCTGTGCTTTTATCATATCCTCAGTAATCCAGAACTTTAATCATACTCTCTACTAATACATCATTTTTTTTTATCTGGAAATCTTTTGGAGCTCTGTGTTCTCTTCAGTGTGAAAAGCTTTACTTCAGTTACCAACCTAGGACTTCCCACTTAATGCATTTTTACATTAACCTACAGTTGTCTTCTTCCTAGGCTTATTTCCTTCTCTTGCTTTAGCACATTCTCAGGTAATATTCTAACAAAAGGAGGGTATGCTGAGTCATTATATGTCTGAAAAATTTTTTCTCATTAAATAGGATTGATAGTTTAGCTGGATTCCAGAGGATATATTTTCCCTAAATACTTTTAGCATTGCTCCAGTGTCTTCTGGTATGTAATATTGTTTATGAGAAGTCTTAATGCCAGTTTAATTTTGGGGTTTTTTTGTAGGTAATCTTTTTTCTTTTCCTCTCTGAAAGCTTAATTTCACAATAATGTATTTGGGTCTTTCATTTTTTTTTTTTAAATTTATTTATTTGACAGAGAGAGACACAGCGAGAGAGGGAACACAAGCAGGGGGAGCAGGAGAGAGAGAAGCAGGCTTCCCGCTGAGCAGGGAGCCCGATGTGGGGCTCGATCCCAGGACCCTGGGATCATGACCTGAGCTGAAGGCAGACGCTTAATGACAGCCACCCAGGCGCCCCTGGGTCTTTCATTCTTATTCTTATATTTAATCCTTTTTGTTGTTTGGTAGGTCCCTTAAATTTTAAAGATTTGTGTCTCCTTTTCTGGGAATTTTTCTTGCTAAATTGCTTTGGTAATCTCTTCATTTTCACTGTTATTTCTTTCTGAAACCACTGTTGGTTGAGTAATAGATCTCTTTTGATTATTCTCATATTTCCTATTATCTTTTTGCTTTTGATTTTGGGACATTCACTTGATTTTTGTCTTTTAACCTTTCTTTTGAATTCTTACATTTCAGCATTGTTTATTTTGGTCTTTGTCAGGCTGCTACAGGCTGTCTTCACATAGTTGGTGATTTGTGGTTGACACATTCATGTTTAGAAATAAAGCATTGGGCTTATTGAGCGTTCTATGTATATTTTATATTTTAGTGAGGCTTGTCACTAGGTAGGCTTCACTATAGAGTTAATAGGTATAGAACTGGACATTAAAGGATATGTCCACATGCTGGAGGATTACATTAGTTCTATTGATATGGTAAGTTCAGTGTCTTTAGAGAAGAACACACAAGGTTTTTTGTTTTGTTTTGTTTTGTTTTTTTTGCTGAAAGTTTATCAGGATGCTTTTGGCCACAAGCAACAAAAATCTTGATTCAAACTGGTTCATAAAATGTTATCCCATGTATCAAGAAGTCCAGCAGCTTGGCCCTAGGCACTATATATATATATATATGGTCAGTGACTCAGTACATTCATCAAAGAATCAGGTTTTTTTCCTTTTGTCCACTCTGTCATTCTCTTTGCCTGTGCTTTGTACTCATGATGGCTTTCTTTATGGTTCCTGGATGATGATTACGGTTCTAGGCATCACATGGATCTGGTTATATGCAATAGAAGAAAAAACTGTCTTTTCTGGTACTTCTCTCTCAGGGCTAGGAAACTTCCCAAGTCTCCTTAGCAGATTTCCTCTCTTAACTGCTGGCCAGAATCAGTTCATTCCCATTTTTAAATCCGTCACTGGCAAGGGGAATGCACTTACCACAATTTGTCAGGATTCATTAGGACTACTTCTGAAGCTTGTAAATGAGGTCCTTTACACGGTAGGAGCAGATACCTAATGAGAATCAGAGTTTTGTCAGGGAAATAAATAGAGATGGATGCTGGGGGGGGGTCAATCATAGTCTTTTCCATGGGGTTAGGTGCCTGACTTCATTTTATCCACAGGGGTGGCAGGTGACTGGCTTATTTGCAGAATTTCACTTTAATTCCCTCTTTCTCAGCCTTACCTGATTTCTATCTATTATCATCATTATACTTGGCCTTTTTTCTCTTTTTCTTTCTCTCTTCTCCTCTCTCCTCTCCTCTTTTCTTTTTCTTTTGTTCTCCCCCTTTGCCTCTTACGCTTCTCTAAGGTCTTTTGGGCAGGCCAGCTGCCTTTTTATTTTTTATTTTTTTCTTTAAATTTTTTATTGTTATGTTAATCACCAGACATTACATCATTAGTTTTTGATGTCGTGTTCCATGATTCATTGTTTGTGCATAACACCCAGTGCTCCATGCAGAATGTGCCCTCTTTAATACCCATCACCAGGCTAACCCATCCCCCACCCCCCTACCCTCTAGAACCCTCAGTTTGTTTCTCAGAGTCCATCGTCTCTCATGGTTCGTCTCCCCCTCCGATTTACTCCCCTTCATTCTTCCCCTCCTGCTATCTTCTTTTTTTTTTCCTTAACATATATTGCATTATTTGTTTCAGAAGTACAGATCTGTGATTCAACAGTCTTGCACAATTCACAGCGCTCACCATAGCACATACCCTCCCCAGTGTCTTTCACCCAGCCACCCTATCCCTCCCACCCCCCACCACTCCAGCAACCCTGTTTGTTTCCTGAGATTAAGAATTCCTCATATCAGTGAGGTCATATGATACATGTCTTTCTCTGATTGACTTATTTCACTCAGCATAATACCCTGCAAATGGCAAGATCTCATTCCATTTGATGGCTGCATAATATTCCATTGTGTTTATATACGACATCTTCTTTATCCATTCATCTGTCGATGGACATCTTGGCTCTTTCCACAGTTTGGCTATTGTGGACATTAGGCCAGCTGCCTTTTTAGTTACCATTCCCTTCATGTGTATTCTAGGCCTGTGGCTTTTTCTGCTCAGTTTATTAGTCTAAGACATTTGTGATCATTTTCCACCTTCCAGAAATTTGTTGATATTGTTAATTAATTCATTTCCTTTGTTGGTTCTTATTCATTCCTTTACTATCTTTAGATTATTAGATTTAGAAATTTTTGAGTACATAAAAAAGCAGAAGAAAATTAATTCTCATGTATTCAGTATCAACAGTTATCACTTCATAACCAGTCTGTTTCATCTGTACTCCCATCCATTCGTGCATCTCCCCTCCCTCACTCCTACCATATTAGTTTGAAGCCTTTTACTTTCATTTTAATGTAGAAGGAGATCAAGTACATGCTCAGGTTTGCCATCTTGAATCAGGTCTAGTAGAATGTTTTGAGAGTTAAGATGACTCAGAGTAAAGAAACATATAGCCTTGAACTTTGAATTGTGTTTTCTGAATTTAGTTTTAGAAAAGTAAATTTTGTATATTCCAACACTACACTTGAGCCAGATCAAAGATATAGCTTCTATATTATGACATCCTGAGGGAAGAAGGTAATCATATTAAGCATTACAATATATAATATGTTAAATGCTAATGATCAAAATCATTGAATCCTTATTAGTCCTGGTCTTATTTAAAATTTGATATTTTAGCAGCCTTTTTCACCTTATTGCTGTTAATACTTTCCCCCCCTTTACTTCACAACCAAATCAACTCCAGATCAATGAATGAAATTAAAAATCTCCAGTACCTACCTCGGACCAGTGAACCCCGTGAAGTCCTCTTTGAAGATAGGACAAGAGCTCATGCCGACCATGTAGGTCAGGGGTTTGACTGGCAGAGTACGGCTGCTGTTGGGGTTTTGAAAGCTGTGCAGTTTGGTGAATGGTAAGTTAAGGGAACTCAACTGCAAGGTTGGTTAATGTTGTTTGAGAAAATGTGGACTCAATTTAAAAGGTTGGGGACTAACTTTTTTAGAAATCGTGGTAAAATACTCGTAACATAAAACTAAACTGAAAAATCTTAATCATTTTAAGTGTACATTTCAGTGGTGTTAAGTATATTTACATTGTTGTGAAGCAGATTTAGAAAACTTTATCTTGCAGAACTGTAACTCTATACCCACTTAACAATAACTCCCTTTCTCCTCTCTCCCCAGCGCCTGGTAACCTTCATTGTACTTTCTGTTTCTGTGATTTTGACTACTTTAAATACTTCATATAAGTGGAATCATACAGTAGTTTTTTGTGACTGGCTTATTTTTGTTAGCATAATATCCTCAGGGTTCATCCCTATTGTACCATGTGTTATAATTTCCTTCCTTTTTAAGGCTGAATAGTATTCCATTATATGTATATGGTATATTAGCATTCATTCATCAGTGGACACTTGGGTTGCTTCCACCTTTTGGCTGCTGTGAACAAGTATCTCTTCATGTCTCTGCTTTCAGTTTTTTGGGTATATACCCAGAAGTGGAATTGCTAGATCATTTGATAATTTTATTTTTAATTTTTGGAGGAACTGCTAATACTATTTTCCATAGTGGCTGCACCCCCCCCTTTTTTAAAAGATTTTATTTATTTATTAGACAGAGACAAGAGAGGGAACACAAGCACGGGGAGTGGGAGAGGGAGAAGCAGACTTCCTGCTGAGCAGGGAGCCCAGTGTGGGGCTCCATCCCAGGACCCTTCTGAGCTGAAGGCAGACACTTAACAACTGAGCCACCCAGGCGCCCTGTTGCTTCACCCTTTTACATTCAGTTGGAACCCAAAGCTCAGAGCATAGAATTTAGCTTATTTAAAAACTGTTTTGCTTTTCATATTTATAACTTCAGAGCCTTCAATATTACTATAGAGTTTGATCTGACCTTATTTAGAAGTATAGTTCAATCACAGCTCGACAGTAAGTATTTCAAGTACGTCATTCAGCTTTTTTTTCCCCCTCACTACTTTGGAAACTGAAGGCGTGGTATTTGTGTGGCTGATACGTTTTCTCTCCCACTTTGTTCCATCCTGATGATGACATTAAAGGGTGGCCTGGAAATGGTGGGGCAGAGTGGTGAGAGGATGCAGATGCAACTGATTTAGAATGAAACTGTTTTTAGTCATTGTTATTTTGATTTTGTAACAACTAATTTTCATTTTTTTAAAACAGCTTTGTTGGTGTTTTATTTTTAAAGTCTAAATTAAAAAACGTAAATGTACACTCTTGTTTGTAGGAGCTGTGGGTCTATTTCTAGGCTAGTAATAGCATTTTTAGGAATAGAAATGAAATTTGTCATCATTTTCCATTATGAGATGCATGTTCCTAAAATTTGATTTTGTTAATCTTAGGAGTGACCAACCTCGCATAACCAAAGATGTGATTTGTTTTCATGCTGAGGATTTTACTGATGTTGTACAGAGACTTCAGTTAGACCTTCATGAACCTCCGGTTTCCCAGGTAAACTCTTGCTTTTTTATTACCTTTTGAGTGAGATAATAGAAATAAGTGCCTGTTACCCATTTTATTTTGCATTGATCTTATAGTTGGATACATGGGATGGTAAATTTAATTTTATTACTATTAAAAGCTGTGTGTGGAGGGTGTCAGAAAGTTATTAAAACAGAGCTTCCCAAGCAGAATGCTTGAAATCCCTTTAATATTTGGGACGCCAGGTGGGCCCAGATGGTCAGAAGGTCTAGGCTGCTCAGTTCCGGCTGGAAGGAGTCTCCCCTGATAACCCCATTGCACTGTGTGTCCTCACATGCAAAAGGTTGAAAGACACAGGAGCAGATAAATGTTGCCCTTCTGTGTGGCAAAGAATACATTATTGTATTTTAGCTGCATTTTGAAACAGTTGTTTAAATAATTCCTTAGGCCATCCTGACTTTAACCTGTACTTTGTTACTAGAGAGGTAGTAAAGTATGAGGACAAGTGTTTCCCAGGCATTACAGGAAATTTTAGAAAGTTGTCTATTATTTAGTATTGCTTGGCTTTAATTTGGCCCTACTCCTGTTTTCCTGTGTTAATTCTGATGTTTTATATGAGTAAATTTCTACATATTTTAAAGTGTCATGCAACTTTCTTTTCTCTGCAGTGTGTACAGTGGGTGGATGAAGCTAAACTAAACCAAATGAGGCGGGAAGGCATTCGTTACGCTAGAATTCAGCTGTGTGACAATGATATTTACTTCATCCCTAGAAATGTCATTCATCAGTTCAAAACAGTGTCAGCAGTGTGCAGCTTAGCTTGGCATATAAGGCTTAAACAGTACCACCCTGTTGTGGAAGCCACTCAAAACACAGAAAGCAGTTCTACCATGGACTGTGATTTAACTGGAAAGCAAGAATTAGAAGTTGACTCCCAGTGTGTGAGGGTAAAAACTGAATCTGAGGAAACATGCAGAGAGATGCAGCTTTTGACAACTGCTTCATCATCCTTCCCTTCATCGGAACTTAAACTACAGCAAGATCAGATGACTCAGCCTGTTCCAGTTTTAAAGGTGGAAAGTAGACTGGACTCTGACCAGCAACACAATCTACAGGAACATTCGAGCACTCCTGTGTGATATGTACATATTCAAACACATTTTTTAACTTTTTTAAATTTTGATGTGAAGTTATAGTTTTATAACTGGCTTAAGTTAAGTTTTATTGGAGAAATCTTGCCTATAATTCTATAAAGAGAAATGACATTCCACAAATGTCAAGCATATCTTTTTTACACAGATTATGCAAAGTTAAGAGTTGTATCTTATCCCGTTAGTACAGTATGTAATAGTGGGTCTGCTGCTACTTTCTGTTTTAAGGTGTGAGGTAACAATTCAATCTCTTCTTCAAATCAAACAGAATTCTCTGGAATAACAGATTCTTATTTGGTAAATTATTCACTTCCCGTAATTTTATCTTGCCTTGTCTCTTGCCATATTTGCTGTTTTATGATAGAAGATCAGATTTATGCTTTGGTACTTGTGTCTTTATGGCACGGATTCAGTTACCACAGTAAAAATGGCAAAAGTTGCAGGAAGGAGTTCTTTCATCTTGTTCATGGGCAAGTAAGTTCCAACCGCAAAGAACAGGTAGTTTCTAAGGAAAATTCAGTGGCTCTCTGGTTTCTTAACAAAAGAGAAAGCACAGCACTTTCTGATCCAAACTGTCTTTTTTGTATCTGTTATTTAAAGCCCAGTGGATATTTCAATTAAAAATATCTAAAGATGAATAGTCCTTGGTCATTCATTATCCATGGTTCATTAATCTCTTCTAGAATACATGGTAACTGTAGAAGATAATTGGGTAAAAGAGATAATGTTGACATGATACTCTATCATTCTGCTACCTAGCATCCTCACATTTTGTGTGGATACTTTTGCTTCCTAAATTGATCACAAGTATCAGATTTAGAGAATGATACCAATCTTTCTGATGAGGCTGCCATATTTTGTGCATGAAACTTAGGAAAAACCATTTTTGTCACTTGGCATCAACTTCTTCATGATAAAGATCTGTTGAGACACTTCAATTCACAGTTTTAACTGGTGAATACTTGGGTTTGTTTACTATTATTCTGTGTTGCTATGGTCTATTAAAAAATATGGCACTAGACTTCATCCTAGAGTTTCAGGTAACCTACTGCTTAGTGCCTGAGTATTTAAATTTTTCTTTTTTTTTCCAAACAGGCACAGTTCATATAGCTGGTGTAGTCTTAACTTTCTATTGTTTTAGAATGTTAACATGATACACATTTCACTTTCTCTTAGTTAATAATACAATAGGCCTTTTGTTCATTAAAGGAAGAGTATTCCCCACACCTAAGACCAGATTCTTGTATCTACCTGGTTATTGTGCAATTCGGAGATTTTTTTTTCCTGGAGGGTGAGATTTGGAATATTTACATTTAACATAGGCAAAAAAAAAGATGCTGCTTTATTATGTCTGTCACCATGAAAACTTAGCTGCATCTTTTGAAATATCAAATATGAATTTTCTCTAAAATATTCTGAAATAGGCTAAATCTTATATAAATATTACTTTGTGCAATATTGTTGTGTAGTTAAATGCATATTAGCAAAGTATAGAGGTCACTGTGTAAACCGATAGAAAAGTAACCATCAGCAAATACTGCAGTGATTAGTTAGAATCTGTATTATTCCTTATATATATGTATATGTATGTATTCTCTGTTACAAAGGATGAAGACAAATAGAGAAACATTTCAATGTAAACCATTTATGAATTGGAAGTGATGTTGGTTTTAGTTATCTTTGTAAATAAGGTAATTAGAATGGTATGAAAAGTAATGTGATTATTGCAGGGGTGTTTTAAAAATCTTGGGTATAAATTCTAGGGTAAATTCTAGTTTATCAAGACTAGTTTTTAAAGGGACCTGCCTTTGAGGGTGTTTTTTGTTATTTTGGAGGGGGGGGAGGTTAATCACAAAAGTATGTGGATTGGGTTTTCTTGTTTTTGTTTTTCTGTCCAGAAGAATTTCATAGAGCTTTACTAGGCTGTACAAAGTAGAATTCTTCTCAGGCAACATTTGCTTTTTAAAATAATCATGAAGAACAAGGTTGTTAAAGCAAAAACTTTTTTTATTTTTATTTTCTTGTCTTCCAAGATCCGATTTCCCCATCTCCCACTTGCCATCCAGCAGATGCCATCTGTCATCTAAGCTGGTCATTACTAATAAACAAGGAGACTGTCTCCTGACAGCCAGCACTGTGTATAATCACTCAGGAACCAGCGGATCTGCAAAGACCTACAATCAAAAGCAAATCCCCATTTTCCTTTTATAAAATATTTCTACCCTCACCTCCAATATAAACACATTAAAAGAGTATACAAATGTTTAAAATCATGTACTAATAAATTAATTGTATGTTAGAATTGCAATAGAATGGAGAGAGAAACATTTAGCTAGTAATGTATCTGGAAACTGAATGTCCTATGTGAGTATTAGATTTAATAGCATGCTTTAAAGACTGATGAATATAAAAGCTGAAGTTTTGAGTTTCCTTACTGCTTTCAAAGTTGTATCCTAGTTTAGTGATACAGATGATTGCAACTTTTCTAAATCTTGAAATTATTTGGTTTGGTGGAGTGAGGCATGGAGCAATCCGGCGTCTTCTGATTTGTAAAGTAGTGATGGCAGTGAAGTTGTATCTGAAATTTAAGCTGATCTTCCTTTTTGGTATATTATCTGTTGTGCCAACTCTTTGAGATTACTTGCAGAATGTGGCTGTAAGTTGGAGTATTTTGTGGAGCAGAGGGATATTTTAAAAATGTGCTTATGGAAAGGACCCAATAAATGAATATTCCTAACTTAGTAACTAGAATGATTTTATGGTATTCATAAATAAGGATAAAAGTTTTCCCCCTGCCCCAGAAGTCATTCTGTAATTACCAAGATATGCTAGGAGTAGGATTATGATTCAGAGGTATCCCAAATTCATAAAGCAATAATAATAAAAACCTACATATTAGTTTTCCCCTCCAAAGTTTTAACTCTTTAAAAATGAATTCCTAAGCTTAATTGTACTTTTAATTTGCTTATTCAGTACTTAGAATTTGTTTCCCTGGTACTTTATTATTTTTAATTAAAAACTTGAAAGGTGCCCTTTCCCCTTGGAGACAGTTGGAATATCAGTTGACAGGTATTACAAGCTCTTGTAGGGGGAAAATGGAGCTTGTTTAATAAAATCCTTTACCAAACCTTAGGAAAAGAGGTCTTGCAACATCTTGCATCAGTCTTAATAGGCATAAAGTTCACACTTAATGCCTGGAGAAACTTCTGCTTATTGCCTTTCCCTCTATAAGTAGTGTCTAGAATGAAAACTAATTTAGAAATGAGACTCCAAGATTCAAGAAAACCCTTAGTGACTATATTCTTGATCATTAATATTAGCCCATTATATTTTCATCTGTATTTGCCATTAAAGCTTATTTGCATTTATACCTTTAGGATAATTGAGTTTGTGTCTTTCTAATCGATTTTGTCATTGCTACAGGTCTAAAAAAGCCTTTCACTAGTACATGGCAGAAATTCATATTTCTGCTAAGTTTTTTTTTTAAACAAGTTGTAGCTGTATTTATTGGTCATGCAGTAAGTAGAGGAAATGTACAAGACAAATGTTTTTCTTTAGCACATAAGGGACCTATCCTCATCCTGAAAGTTTGTTGCTTTAAAAGCAAGTATCTCCATAAATATTATGGCCTTCCATTTCCTTCATAAATTTTTTATGATCCACTTGTGCATGTAGTTGAGACCACTGTCTCTTAATATAGCACTTTTCAATTCTCTAAAGAAATACTTATGTACTACTTCTATCACATGTTGTAAATTTTCATGTAATAGTGTTTTCTGTGACTAAACTCCATTTTGATTGGCAGCTAAGACTTTTTTTTTTCCTGTGGCTTTAATTTATCTAAGAGGTCTTTGCATATAGATGAAATGTATAATTTGCCTGGCGGACTATTTGCGTTGTGTGGCCTTAGTTTGTTTATTGACATTAACGAGTGTTTTAAAAAGGTTTTTAATGAATAGTCTTAAATCTAAATTTGTGTGAATAATAATCCTTTTAACACAGTGCTTTTTGTAGCTGTCTAAGTGTGTTAAATTGTTAAGCTATTTCTTTGTAAAATAGGACAATGGAATGCATAGAGGTTTTTTTTTTCCCTGTAAAGTATTTTTTTAATAAACAAAAGTCTGATTTGTCCTTTACTTATGTTTCATGAGAAAATGAATAGTACATGTGAATTCTAGGTACCTGGAACCTGTTTTTAAAGTATTAATCCCCCACTTTCTTTGTCCCCTGTCATTTTCTAATCTTCTAGAAAATCTTGTGACTTTTCTTTCCTAAAGAAAAGGTCAGAGAAAGAAAGAAAAGGTCAGAGATAATGGGAAAATTCCATCATACGGAGATGCAACTAGTTTTTGGGAAGAAGAAAAGCTACACTTGGCATTTGTGGCACTTGTGCCCTCTGATGCTTGTATCTGCTTGAGAGGACAATCTTAAGTTTTTAATCTGGTGATGTCCATAGTTTTCAAAATACATGCAAGCAAGCAGTGTTAATGAAGATGGTGAATAGACATTTTGGATGTCATTAATGTATTAAGTGACACAATGCAGTGGGGTTTTTTTCCTCAGTTTTTGTGTCAACTTTTCTTTGAGATACTTGCTAAGCCCTGATAGACCTTGGTTCTGATTAGGAAAAGAAAAGGACGGGAACTAATGTGTTCTGAGTAACCGCTGCAGGCCAGGCACTTTCTAGGAGGGTATCTCATTTAATCTTCACAGACCTTAGTATTTAGTAGGAAGATAATAAATACAGGTGAGAAAGCAGGCTTGTTAGGTTGAATAAATTGCCTGAGATCACACAGTTCATTAATTGGGGCAGGGATTTGAATGCAGTTCTTGGTTGAAAGCCCATGCAGTGTTGTGGCAGCCTTAGAAAGGACTGAAAACTTGGTAAAAAGGGGCACCTGGAAGATGATTTGCTACTTCCTACTATTCCATAATGCAACTTACCTGATTTCACTTCTAACATGAATTCCCCCCAAAGTCTCTGTGCGCTAAGCAATGAAGTAAAATGCTTGTAATTTATGTCTTAAAGCAAATATTTAGATACACAATGACTTTTTCATTTGTCATTTATCCATTTGGGTTTTTTTCAGGTTGGCCCTTTGTCCTGAAACCCAACAGAATTAAGGGGAAAAGCTGTCAGGAAGCAAAATCAGAAGTGTGCAATATAAAAATCAGGCCTGGGTGAAATAATTTTTAGTTCTGTGGGAGTTACTTTTACTTCTTAGTGGCTTTTTCCTTGTCAGTAAGATGGGACTTCACCTTACCCCGATTTAATAGATAAGAAATGCTCTTAAAACTTAGAATCGCATTTCTTAGGCTTTCTGAAGTGGTAGCTGGTGTGACGATTATCTGTCATAGCTTTATCTGAGTCAAATGCTATATGCAAGCAAGGACACCGATTCGAGTGGAGTGGGAATGGCCGTTAGGGCTCAGTGTTACATTAGTGGCCAAAAAACGTGCAGTATAGAGGAGGAAAGCAGCTTAAAACCTTACTAAGGTATTCTTAAATACTCGCTTTAGGGCGCAACCATTCTATTCTCCTGACCTCTGTCAGGCTGCTTGAATTCTTAACCTCGAAACAGTTCTTCCCGCCTCCACCTTCTCCTATCCTGATTTGCGAAAAGTGCCCTGGAACTGCCCCAAGCCGTCCCTCCTCTTGCCTTGGCGTCGAGCACTCAGAAGCTTAAATCTCAGAGCTGTTGGGGGGCGGGAGAGGAAGCCAATCATTAAGCCGCAGCCCGCCTCGCCCTTAGTCCCAGGACGGCGTAAATTCAGGAGAACGTCCGTTCGTTCAGCCAAGACTGAGAACCTATGTGCCAGGCTTCTGCCAGGCCCCAGGCTCTGACCTCACGGAGCCCACAGCCCTTTGGGGAAGACGGGTAGTAAATAATGAAGCACAAAGAAACCTGTAAAAGAAAGATAAGTGTTACAAAGGATTGAACGGGGAGCTATAATAAGAACAGGACCGACCCCCTTTAGATCGATGGCCGGGAAAGTCATTTCTGCGGACGTGACCTGGAGGTGATCTGCCTTGGCCTTGACGCTCGAGTAGCTCCGAGCCCCTCCATCCCCAAGCCTGGCAGAGGCTCGGCGGCCAGGCCCGGGCGGGGGCGGAGCCATCTGAGCAGCAAAACCCGGAAAGCGGAAGCCGCAGCCAGGCTGCACCCCGATCTGCGGCGCTGCCCTCGCCCAGCTCTCGGCCGGCTGAGTCACGGCCCGTCGGCCGGCCCGGCCTAGCAGGACGCACGCCTGCCGTCCCGCAGCCGCTGCCTCCCGCGCCGGGGGGGGCCTTCGGCCTTCACCCGAACAGCGAGGCACTGAGCCTCTGGCCATTGCCGTAGCCGCTGGCGGCTAGCGAAGACGTCCGTCGGTTTTTATCCCCCTCCTTTCCCAGTTCATTCTTGGCTTCTCGGTGGAGGGGGGGGGGGTCAGTCCGGTGACCCTGTAGGTCGGGCTTGGAGGGCGCCGGGTCTGCGGCAACAGACTGCGCTCCTCTGGGCGCTGGGCGGCCCGCTGCCTCCGAGGCCCCGGCGGCCTCCGCGGTCTCCATGGTAACGGCCGCGCCGGCGTCTCGGCCTCTGGGGGAGGATGTGGCCTGCGGGGCCCGCAGTCTCGCCCCCGGCCTCATGGCGGGGCTGGGGCCACTGAGGAGGAAGGTCCCGGCCGCCGGACTGCGGGGCAGCGGGCACCAGGTGAGAGCCGGACGCCGGGGAGCGGAGGAGGGGGTGTGTGTAGCTCAACCTCCAGCCACCACCCCTTCCCCTCCCCTGCATCCCTGTAACACGCTCGCACCAAATATCGCAGAGAGGCTTCTCGGGGCGCCACTGCGCCAGAGGTTTTTGGTTTGCTTCTGTTTTTCTCTTTTTTTTCCTGGCAAAGAGCCGGAGAGAGACAGTCAGCAGCTCATGGAGAGGCTGAGAGAAGGGATTTTTTGCGTTCTCCCCAAAGTGGGAGAGTACCTTTCGGCAACCGGACTCACCAACTGGTTTTCCTTCATTTTCAGTGAAATCCCATTCTCTGCCTGGAGACGCAGATGGCCTCAAATGAGAGAGATGCTATATCGTGGTACCAAAAGAAGGTAATATCAATCTTTTTTATTTGTAAAGCATAGTTCCTGCAGAAAGCTCCCGCAAAGACTATCCTGCTAGTTTTTCCTGAGCTTGGTAGTGCCAGGAGTTCCTACATGGTGACTCTCAACTTAGATGGAAAACCGATGCACAAGGTCATTAGGTCTTTTAAACTCAGCTCCAGGTCCCCGAATAAGATTTTCTAGTCCCCCCCCCTTCTCCAGGCTGCATCACACAATGCCACAGCAACGCTTTGAAAGTTTGCTTCTGATCAAACTGCTGTTGTTTTTTTTTTAGACCTGAAACTTTTATCTTCACAGCTCAGATTGGTACTGTCAGCAGTCTTACTGAGCTGCCCGTTACCTTTTATTCCTCTCTAGTTTTCCTACTGATGTTTTCCTTACGAAGTGGAAATATCTTGTAAGGTAATAATTTGAAATATCTTGGACATTGCTTTTTAGCTTACTTTTAGATCCAGCTACTTTAGAGTTTTGAAGGAAACAGCCCTTTGAAATAATAATTCTAACCTCTGAGAAGCATAATCCTTTTCCAGGTACCATATTGATACTTAATAGTTTCATGACTTTTGTGAGATTTGACCTAAATAGAAGGATTTTCCTTTGCATCATTCAAATAGCCTGCTCCCTATTTCAGATTGGAGCATATGATCAGCAGATATGGGAAAAGTCAATCGAACAGACTCAGATTAAGGTAAATGGATTTCTTTGATTCTAGCTTTGTTTTACTGAATTAATGTGAAGAGTGGATTGTACTTTTTATAAAATCTGCACTTATCCACCAAGTATGGATATTCTTTATTCTTTGACGTTTATAAGGAAGACAACACTGCAAGCAGAATGACAAATGACAATTGACATTTGGCCTCAGTATCAGGGAAATAGAAAGGAGTGGTTGGTCTATGATGAGTTAGAAAGCAAATGTCCCCTATAAAGGGGGTTGTGGCTGCTTATGCCGGCAGTGTGGCCCCAGGACTGCCAGAGCCTGAGTTTTCAAGAGAAGCAGGGAAGATGCATTTTTATGTGAAATATCCAGATTTTTTAGAGTGTCTTCCCCTTTCCCGCCTTTCCTCCTCCTCTACCTCCTCCTCCCACCTCATTCTCCTCTTCTTTTTTCTTTCTTCTTTCTCCTTTTTCTCTTCCTGTGCAAGCCAAATCAAATCCATTTGTGGCCTGAATCACTTTTTCAATTACCGGTTTAGAGTATGGTTTTAAGTTCCCAGGTTCTTCAACTTTTTTCTACACTGCTTTTAGAACCGTGCAGATTCTTAGGGTAATTTCATGTTAACCAACCAAAAACTGACATGGATTCAGAATGCCAGTTTATTAATTTATAATAGCAGAGGGGAGGGTTAAATAACCTAATGTTCCAAAGTCAGGGTTGTGGGCTCAACATGTACTGGAGGAGATGGGAGGGTGGTGCAAATTAGTCATGGGAAGGTTGCTTGGTAGTCAAATGTAATCAGATAGTCTTGAGAGATGTGGAAAAGCCTAAAGACCATCCCTGCCCCTAAAAGAATGTCTCTCTATGTTGGCTTTAATACCTAGATCAACAGATTCAGGGTCTCACTTCCTTGGAATGTGCTGAATAATGGCGGGCAGATTCTTGTTTTTGGACCTTGCCTTGCTATTTTAAAGATTTGCTGCAGACCCTTTCTTAACACTTAAAAAAAAAAAGTATCACACCCACCCACACATACATATAATTTAATAGTTCTGTTTATCTCTAAGTCACCTTGATTGGACTGGGTTGTTTAAATTTCGGGTGAAATACATTTAACCAACACTTGTAGGGTGCATTCTTTTTATAGGCCAATCAACTAGCAGTTGTTGAAACTACATGGTACATGGCTAACTTTCACAATTTTGTACAGTCCTTGATTTTTCTATATTAAAGATATGGGGTAGGATGAATAACACCCCACATTTTATTTTGTAACTCTCTAAATCCTGTTCTGTTAGTTGCTGTAAAGTACTGATAGTAAGTAAGTAAGGTGTAATGGAAAGAGCATAGAACTGGGAGTTA